GACAGCGAGGGAGCAGGTTGGCACAGACCCAGGAACCATCTGGCCCGATGCTCCCATGTTGCGGACAGGGAAAACTGAGGTCAAACCACTGCCATAAGTAAGGGAATGAGGGAGCTTAAATCCGTATCTGACAACTCCAAACTGCTGGAATAGAGACAGGAAGGGCCGGCTGGGTGGGGACTGCTGGGGTCTGGCACAGGCAGCTACGGCTAGATCAAGGCACCTCTGTGCTCTCCTAGGCCCCACCTGCACTCAGCATCCAGCAGGTATCCAGCATGGCTGAAGAAATGGGAGATCAGGCACATTTTAGGGCTCCCTGTAAAATACACAATCCACCCATCCCTCCCCCATGCTTTAATGCAGCTCCCGCTATGAGCTGTGAGCTAGGTCCTGGGCCAGGCAGTGGGGACAGAAGAGCCCCCAGTGCGAGCCCACAGCTGAGACACATAGTCACCGACGAGGACCGTACCCCGAGGAAAGGTCCTGGGGAGACTTTGAGGAGGAAGAACCTCATACAAGTCTTGAAAGGAGAGAGCCCAAGGGACACATGGGGCAAAGGGTCGCCAGGCCATGAGAACAACAGGCACCAAGGCCTAGAGTCTACCTGAGGCAGTGACAAATGACCTCACAGCCAAAGGGAGAGGGGTGACCTGTCTGAAGGAGCAGGTGGAGGTGAGCAGAGCCCACCTTAACCCTACACAGAGCTGCCTGCAGTGTGGCCCCAGAAAAACACCCTCTCTGCAGCCTAGGAAGGAGAGATGACCGCAGACCTCTGTGCAGACACATCCAAATCATGCATGCACACACACACGAAGGGGTACCTGCATGGAGAGAGGTGTGCAACAAGGTGTTTGTGTGTGTACATGCCTACACCTATGGGTGTGCACAGGCATACACAAATGTGTGCATACTATATATGCACAAATACATGCATATGCACAGGTGAGAGCGCAGCATGTTACAGAAGTTCAGGTACAAATGAGATGTGTATGCATGCATGTATGTGTGCAACAGTATATATGCATGAGTGCTAGTGTGCATGTATATGCACATGTATGAGTATACGTATACATCTATATGTGTATCCATACGTGTGGGTGCACCCCGCCCCGGAGTGGACCTTCCTGCACCCTCCTGGTTATGCCAGGAACACTAGGTCATACCAGAAGCACTAGATCAACATGCTGCCAGCCTTTCCCAAGGTCCTCAGTCCCCATACATGGGCATACATGCATATGTGCATACAATGTGTGCATGAATGTATGCACACACAAGGATGCAAGCACATGTTTGTACATGTGTGCATGCGGTCATATATGTTCCCACACATGAATGTATGCGCTGTGTGAGTGAACATGTGCCCATAATACATGTGTACATAGACATGTGTGTAGAGATTGTGTGCGCATGTGCATACATGTGTGTGTGCATGCATACCTGTGTGTGTAGAGAAGTGGTTCGAGGAAACAAGCTCCCTTCAACCTGAGCTGAGGCTACTGATGAGGCGCAGAGCACTGTGTTCCAGGTGTCACTCAGCAGGCATGCATCCAAATCCCTTCTCGGGGACAGCTATGACTTGCTTGTCCCACAACTCAGACACAGCAGGCCTAGGACCCAATGCCCCATGGCTGGATGGCCCCGGGCTGGACCATCCCTGCCCTGGCTCCCACTCATCACAGTGAGCTGAAGGGCAAGCATGCCTTTGCAGCCCCAGGATGCTCCACTGCCATGTGGTTTTCCTTTGAATGCACCCATGCCCCTTCCCCTTGCACCCCCACAAATGTGTGGGCACCACCCCCCAGAGCCCCCACAGTGCAGCCTGACTCCCTACAGCACTGTCCCTCAGCACTCTCCCTCGTCATCCTCCCAGCCATGCCCAGCCTTTCTTTCTGGCAGTCTTTCCGGACGCATGCTGTTTTGCTTGTTATAGGATAATCTGGAGCAGTTTGTCAAGCCTAATTTTCCATGTCTGGGGCAAGAGGCCTCTCCAGGTCCTTTACAAAAGCTATAATCCCTGGGGCCTCCCACAGGCAGGCAGGCAGGAAGGCCTGCATGCACTGCAACTCCTAAACACAGCCTGGGGGGGCTTCAATTTCCCTAAGGACTCCTCCCCCTCCTGTGTGGGCTCCAGACCCTGGAGTGAACCTTCCTGCCCCTCCTGGTTATAACAGAAGTACCAGGTCAGCAAGCTGCCAACCTTTCTCAAGGGCCTTGGCCACTCACTGGCCAGAACTCCAGATGCCTAACCTGGCCAGGAGAGCTGCTCACTAGGCTGTGGGAAGCCCTGTCTGGCTTCAGGCCCCAGGTGCTCTGTTCTCTCTGTCTTTCAAATTCCTTATACATGTGAACAATCTGAGGCTGTCATGGAGCCAAGACCTTGAATTCTGCTCCCCACTCGACCCCAGCACCTCCAAGAGTGCTTCCTGCAAGATGAGAACTCTGTAGGTGGGATGGTGGTTAAAGATGCTGGATTCCCACGTGGCTGACCACGCTTCGAGTCTGGGACCTGGAGGCTTGCTTTTTCCCTTTCCCTTTCTCTCTCTCTCTCTCTCTCCATCTCTCTCTCGTTAAATTTAAAAATAATAACAAATGGAATTAAATAAATAATTCTTAAAAAAAAAGAAAAAAAGATGAGAACCCTTTGTGATGTGGGGGAGGCCTACAAGGCTGGCTGGGTGCTGGGAGGAGAGCGATCTCTCCAAAACCTCCATCTGATCCGCACCACTGCCTTTTTTTGAATCATCCTTTGGCTTCCTACTTCTTCAGGACTAAAGCCCATGTCCACCCTAGGGACCCACTGGGACAGGGAACAAGGTACCTTTAGGCCTCTAGGATGAGGAGGGCCTTTAACAAAGACAATGATCCTCGACAGCCACTGGTTTCACCCTCTCACATGACAGCCTCGGCCCTTTGCAGCAAGAGTTGGCCCAGAAGGCTCTGTCATCCCCCAAAGTGCAGCCCTCCTCAGGCAGGCCGGCCGCCAGGCATATCTGATGTCTGCCTGACCCTGCCTGGACAGCACAGGCTCTGCCAATGACTGCATGGTAGACAAGGAAGCCAAAGGTCTGTGGTGGCAGGTGCTATCCTAGCAAGGCTGCCCAGTGTGGGAGGAAGAAGTCAGGCTATCAGGCTAAAGCGAATGCCCAACAGGAGGTCACAGAGGTAGCCCCCAAACTAAGTGCATTTTGAGGGTCACTGGGGGTGGGGAAGGGAGTAGTGACGACTTCTCCCAGGATGGCCTCCTGGGCGCCCAGAGTCCATCCTCCCTCCTCCCACCAGTCACAGCATTGGCAGCTCTGGGGAGAAGGCGTTGGGACTGCTGAAAGGAAGGGTCCTCCCTTTTGTCTTAGTGGAGAAACATTAGGCCTGGGAACTTTAACTTCTCCCTGGGGGCTGCCTCCTCCCTAAAGGTCTGTCTCCCACAGACCTCAGGCTGTAGAAGGCGGGACCAATGCCCAGCACCCAACACAGGCCGGGTGACAGAGCACGTCTGCGAAATGTGCGTACTGGACTTGGGCCTTGGGGGAGTGGCAGGGGTACTAGAGCCGTTGCTCTCCCCTGAGCCCACTCACAGGAAACTGCCCATCATTTTGCCAGTTGCATTCTGGGTGTTTGTTGGAGGCAGTGATTTTTAACATTCCTCAACCGTTTAAAAGCAGAGCCACGAAGCATAAGAATTAAACTTCAATAATTGCCAACATGGGTGCAGAGTCTGGGAGCCTGCCCAGGGCTTCCATAGACACCGCCGTTATGATTCATGCTCCAGCAGCGCTGGGAAGCGGGCAGAGGAGGGAACTGAGGCCCGGCGGGGAGTTGCTCTGCCAGGAATCCGAGCTGGACCCCAAGCTCAGCAGGACCAGTGCTCACCCAGGCAGCGTCGCGTCCTTTGCCAGGCTGCAAGAGGCTCGCTCTCCAATCAGGCCGCGGACCCCAAGTCAGTCGGTGCTGCGCGCGCGTGTGTGCGCGCTCATGCACCAGTGCTCGGGGGAGGAGAAGGAGGCTCCCGTCTTAGAAAGAACAGGCTTCTGGAACTCACCGCCCAGGCCAGCCACCGCTCAACCCTGTCCCGCAGGCTGCAGTCGGCCCTGGAGGGGGCGCCCTCGCCGAGCGCGCGCTCCGCGCCACCGCCCCGGACTCCTCCCCGGCGCCGCGCCGGCAGGTTCGCCCAGGCGGCCGCGGGCT